AACCATGAATTCGAACACCGTTCAAGGCAGAGATGTTTCGCGTACTCACATATTAGCGAGCCCTTGCGAAGAGACTTTGACATATGACGCTCTTACACCGAGGTGTGTGTCGTGACGGAATGCATGTTTGCTGCTACAATGTAGCCAAAACGAGTCCTTAATGACGTAACGCGAGACTAAACCGACTGTTGGAGCCAAACAACAGATTTCTTTGTAGAATACTCATTCATGTTTATGTATTTCCTTCGGCAGGGGCATATAAAAATGTCGAAGAATATGAGGAGGTCCTGATACTAACCCAGTGGTTCCCAAAGTGTGGCGCGCGCCCCCCTCGGGGGTCGCGAATGGTTTTCGGGGGGGGGGGGTGTTTGTATGAAAAACTTTTTTAACATAATATGGAGGTACATTTTTAACATCCTTTGCTTGGTTGAGGCAGTTTAGTTGTCTTACAGTGCTGTACACTCATAGCTAAATTTATATCAAATGTTTGCTTGCATTTGTTCTGGAAGGGGGGCGTGAAATTTATGAAATGTTTTAAGGGGGGCGCAAGGTATAAAAGTTTGGGAACCTCTGTACTAACCATTTAAACTATGCTGATGATGCCTATTTGTTGATCTAAAATATGTGCTCCTGTAATTAAAAACACGTCAGGCATTTGTAAGAAGGTTGATCTACAAGTGGATGCAGCCTCATTCTAGGCTTGTGTGCTCATGTCTTGGAGAGGTAGAATTTTAGGTTTCAAACTGAATTTCCCATGTATCCGTACAGCGGCCAGTGGCGGACTCTTGTGAACAATGTAAAGAATTACCGAGTTCCATAAATGGCGAGGAACAAACTGTTGTCCTCAGCACATGGTTCTCACACTCGCCGACTAGATATCGCGTTCTTCCCTTAGTGTGGATTCCAAGTTTTAGCCGACCGCCATAAGATATAGTGGGGCAGATTCGTACTTGAGGAGCTAATTTTCGCTTAGCTGGTCAGGAAATCCTCACCTTTTTTGGAACCCAGAAGTTTACTTCCGTGTTCACAGGATCCCGCTTTCGGTCCATATACTGACAGGATAAATTCAGTCTCCATTCAAAACAACAGAAAATATTATAGTTTTGCATTCTATAAAAGTTTTTTAACATATGAAGACAAACGATTCTGAAATGAGTGGTAGCAAATATTTCTTAAATTTAATCAAAAGGCAGTCCCTGCTCTTAAATTCTACCTGAATTTAATTCTGAGTCGTTAATGTAGTTTTAAAATAATTTAAATTTTCCACATTTTTGAAGGATTTACTAGCTACCAGTATATTCTTTTTATACGAGTATTGCAATTTTGTCCTGCAGTCTGGTAACAAGACATAATCACAAGAGCTTAGTTATCTTTACATGTACTTCTAGACCAACCTCTTTGCCTAATGTCTTTGTCCCTTTCGTTTTCTTTATGTTAGGTGCATTTATGTGTTCGCTTGATAAGTTAACATCATTATCACAGACAAGAAGCAAAATTACTGCCATCAGAGAGTTATAGCTCACTCTAGAAAATTGGGTCTTCTGTAGAACATTTTCTGCCATTTCTTTAACGTTAACTGAAATTCCTTGTACGGGGACTCTGTCCGTTGCATGCCATCTACATATACAGGACAGCATAATACAAAAATATGTGGAATTACATCTATGCCTGGGTGGGATGCTAACCCACGATTTCCGTTTTCGAGTGTCCAGTACCAACTCTTTGATAACGCAGTTTGATATATGGAAGCCTATAAAATCATATCTGCAATAATTATAATTGTTAATATTTTATAAAAATGATTAGGTTTGCATCTAAAATGCTACAAGCGATATTCTTGTTTTGCTTTCTTCGTTGCGTGTGCAGAATACAGAAACTGTCTTTCAGTTTATGATTTGAAAATTGTTAAATGAATTTACTGATAAACACAGGGAAGGTTGTGATCTTTCTCATCGCTGTGACCTCATCAAATTATTTATATGAAACTGCTTATTTTTATGGTAAAATAGAAAAATCTTGGCCGATTAACATAGATACAAAATTAGTATCATGCACTTGCGATATTAGAATAGCCAGTGCGATAGCGCATGTTAGTCATACGTATATAATTATGGACTGTGTATTTTCCTTGCCGTCAAAGGGAAAACAGCTTCATATGACGATGTGTTATGACACACTATTTACGTACGTATCTTGTAACTTTTCAACAAACTGACTGATTTGTAGCAATATAACGGCGTTGAAGGTCACGAAAACGCAATGTTTGTTCTTACAATAAGGATAAAGTTACTCCAATACACCACGAAGGCTGTGGTAGAGCAGAGACACAGAGACGAAGCTCCACATATTCCAGATCTGTGCACTAAAAAAGACGTGAACTTTACGCCACTTTATCACACCTGATCGGAATTAATCAAGATCCTAGGCTTGTTACTTTAGTGGATCAGCTACTTCGTCTCTTCCTCAATTCATTTTGCTAAGTTATTCAACAGCTTCAATCCAAAATTTAATTTGATTTTTCTGTGAACATTGTAATCATTTGGTACAATAACGGTGGACTTTAATTGGGTTTGTGATTTTGGTTACTTTCTTGTTTATTGCGCCATGTAGTCCTGTAGAAGCTTGCCGACGTTTCATAGGTGCTTGCTCCATCATCGGGGCGATGAGTGATCACAGCGCAATAATCCAGATGACAAGTCATCTTTGCAATTTCAATTACGCCCAGCAGTTTTGTATCAATAAGCAGCACATCTGAATCGTCTGTAAACCTGTACCAGTCTGAACGGCCTAAACAATCTAGAAAACAGCTATTTTCAAAGTCACCACCGAGATAACCTGAAATCTCAGTTGTATTGAACTTGTGTTTGGGAGGTACCGGTTATTTTCGTGTGTGTGTGTGTTTCTTTCAGGCGTATGTCGAAATACTTTTAAACACCAGGCGGGGTTTCCTTTCAAATCCATCTTCTAATCACTCTTGTAATTTCAAAACTCATCAAACAATCCGACAGTCGATTAGTCATTTGCGTTTGCTGTTCTGCAGCGTGACTCATTTCAGCTCCTTCTCATGAACATTTAGTTCTACAAGTTGTAATCAAATTATAAAATTAGTCGTCTAAAAAATGTTTAGATTGGTCATTGGATTCTATCGAGGCAAACTCCTTGTTAGAGCGTCTGTAGAGCTCATTGTTATGATGTTTATGAAGTATAAGTAATAAAATGTAGCTTGTTATTTTCAACACTGTCAGCTACTTTGACAGTGATTGTTTGTCTTACGATAAATCTCATATAGCAGGCTATTTGTGTGTTGACGTGCTTATTCGTAGTCACAGAGCTCAGCCACACATTGGTCCTATGGTTTATAGTCACATGACGACTTGAAGAACCACCCGCGTTGTTCTGCACAAAGATTAGGATATTTAGTTTCAGTTAATATCTTTATAAGTTACTGCACCTTAGATGTCATGGGATTAGGTCATCTGACATGTTCCAATTCATAACTACGCCTAAATGAAAATTACAGCTGGATGACCGGGGTTTGATTCCTGGCAAGAGTAGATCAATTCTTCTCCTGCACTGCTTCCACACCGCTTCTGGGGCGGGGGACGGTTAAGCGACTGTAGTGAAGCTGATTACTCACCATGATCTAACACAGAGTTCAAGAATGCGTAGAATTATACCTCCTCCCCATAAGTCTTCATGCAGAGTTGTTTTATTGAGCACGAGAGCCAACTTTATCTCTGAAGCTATGAACAGTTAAAACGTTCTGGAGAGCGCATTGGACTGATTATCGGCTCATCGCAAGCCCCAAAAGAGAATCAAAGTACTTAGCGCCACTGAGATAGTGAAGATACTTAATACGCCTAATTTTGACAGTAAAAAGGGCAGAAAGGTAGAATGATTAAACGAGAGGAGGGGAGTGGCCAAGGAAATGTACGTCTAACAAAAATTACGTATTAACTGATTCTCGAACTGGTTACCTCTGATGTTATGTCAGTCCGTTGGTGCCTCCGAAGTGCACAAATTTTTGTTTATTCATGTCATGTATTGGTGGATGAGTGGCGTGAGGAATGACAGAAGCCCGAAAATGGCTTCCATTATCATTACCACATTTACAATTGTTAATATTAACTTTCACGATCAGCAATTACGTAAGCAGTTAATGGCACATACTCCTGAATGTGCAGATACCATTAAGATCCTGTCCCACGCAGACGGTGTGCGCACCACAAGAATACTTGAAATCATGGAAAGGCCTTAGCTATGAAAATTATTTTTCCTGCTCCCATTTCGTTCTGGAGGGGGGTTTAAATATGGCTGCAGATAGGCTTCATCGCATAGGAATTTTTAGTAATATCGGAAATGTCAATACTGTTATAAATCGTCGGTGACGTAAAACTCTTTAAAGGACAATAACAACACTGCACCACGTGATTCAACATTCGTTACCTTGGCATTTCGCCCATAGCGTGTTTACGGGTTTCTTTCGGTTCTCAGAATAAACAGTGATTTTGTTCCAAACACCATTAAATGGCTGAGCTTTATAACAGAACGCGACACGTTTTCAAGGAGGTAGGAACATAGAATTTAATTATTATGTAGGTTTCGTACGCTTCTTGCTTTAGGCGGTTAAAATAATTCATTTCGATCTACAAATCTTATTTTCGTAAACATACGGCCAACACTTGTTTCATTTTAGATATTACAGGGAATAGCCATATGGCCGAAGACACAAGATTATTGAAACACACATTAGCCTACCAGAATCACTTAACCCGGTCCTTAGCTGCTCTTTGAACGAAATCAGACCAAAGAAAAACGTTACTAGTGTATTAATTTAGCCGACTTGTGGAGTTTAAACAGTCAGGCCTCTACATGTTTAAATAATTTCATTGAATATCCTAGAAGGATGTCAATCGTTAAACAACCAAGCCGTCTTTTACACAAATCAGTACCTGATCACTTGATTCGGGCATTGCGGTTCACAACAGTAGTTCACGGTAAATTGTGACAAATACATTTATTTATTGCTATTTACATTGCATGTTGCTGCTTACTGCAACAATGAGATGACGTTGTCATTGCGGTCACCTGGAAACCATCAAGCAATTTATGAAAGTATTCAAAATTCAATTGGAAAATTTTCAGAACGTCCCAAACACATTTTCGATTTAAAAATTGTCATTCAGGTAAGCATTGTATCAAAACGTGCATTTTATGTGTCTGTGAAGTTAGAAAACCGAGGACAACATATGAATTCAGGAGACCGAGACGGACAACGTTTCCTCTAGTTTGTAATATAACTTGAAATAATTATAATAATAAATCTGTATTATATCAAGGACTATGTGTATATAATAACAGTTTATTTATTGCGGTTTGTGCATGCATCTTTCCTAGTTCCTCGTATTCATAATAAGAATGTAGTAAGATCAGGTACATACTGCACAGCAATCGCTCACTGCACTATTGATCTAGAGCTGAATAGAACTACAATGGAATGATAAAGAACACGGGCAAATTGGTAATGTTCTTTATGGACACCCTGTGTTCGTTAAAACGTGAAAGTCATACTACACCAACTCTTGAAAACATTTTGTAGTTATTGTTTTCGTAAAAAAATAAGACTTATTACACAATGGTTGTTATTGTTTGACACAACTCATGGCCTCGCCCCTTCCCTCTCTCACCCTCGTAAAAGTCATGCAATTCTCCTTGAACAAATCGACACCACGTTTATACATAGGGGAGTGGAAGAGGGAGAATTATTTGTACAGACCGGCACTGGACAGACCTACCGATATGCAAAGTGGTATTATTACATCATCGTCTCTCCTGTGCGTGCAAAAAGGAGGCAAATGCCTCAGAACAGAAATGCAATAGTAACAAAGAAAACGAATACTTGGTATCCCTATAATAACATTAGCATAAACCTATCATAACCCCAAAACAACAATAACCCAACTAGAGTATATCGCACAGTGCTTTACGACCTTCCTACACGCAACTTCCTTATTGGTGGGAAAACTGATGTAGTTTTCCATCGATTAAACACAGTGCAACGCACTGATACAAAATTATCGTTCGCATGGAAATGTTTCTTGTCGTTGAAGCTCAGTACCTTTATCATCAGTTATATCGTCAATACAGCTCTGATATCTCTCATCTCGATTGATTCAAACGATCTGTGACGCTACAGAAGCGATTTTATTAGTAACATCGTCAATTAATATCCTCATATCTTTAAAAGGAGAAAGATTTACTGATGTAAAGTAAAATAGATAATACGTGTTGTTAAAACATAAAAAGACCCACAAGCCTAATTTAGTCCATAAGAACAACCAGTTCATATTAAGATGCTTGATAAGTAACGAGCGTAAGGGAATATCTCCACGAAACAGAGCCGCGCGGTCTGTGGCGCCATGCTTCGGGCCGGTGGTACGGAAGGCGCGCTGGTCCGAGTCTCGGGGAAAGAAATTTCACATGAGATTTTCGACCGGTGCCAACCCAGCATCGTGAGGAAATTGGGGAGCTAAAATGGGTAGCGTAAGAATCTCTTAGGAAGACTGCACAGCGTACAAATAACCTTTCACTTATTTCAATCGTAAATGACAGGCTTATACCCATTCCGTTTAGTAGAAAATGAATTGAAAGAACACTCATCGGTTCCGAGACGTTTTCCGGACAGACCTCACGGTTCGCACAGCCTTCTCTAAGCAAAGAAATCCAAGAGCAACAATGTCGACATAATCCGATGAATCAACGTACTGTCGCTATTTAAATACAAGAAACATGTCCCTACGTGAGCCATTTCACGAGTTTTCGGGGCAGACGTTACAGCAAGGAACATCACAGTGGGGTCCAAAACAACACCGGTCCCCGAGCCGTCGAGCAGGCACTTTGTTCACACCTCAGCTCCAGCCACAACGAGGTCACAGGTAGAACTCTGGCGAACTGGGATTGCTGTGCCCGGAGGAGCTGACGGAGCTGTGGACGCCATCGGAGCCTCCGCCGGCCCGCAAGAGGTCTAGCCGTTGCTTGTAGTCGTCGCGTTCCTGGGCCACGCGGGTCAGCTGCAGTTTGATGCGGTGCAGTTCCGCCTGCAGGGTTCTGTTGGTCACCTCGAGATCGTGCCGCTGCTGGAGCCGCTTGCTGCGACAATTCTGCGCGTAGCCACGGTTCTTCAGCGTCCGCCTCTTCTGCTTCAGGCGCACCACCTCCTCCCGTGGGAACCCGTGCAGCCGCTTGTTGAGTTCTCTCACCGACAGAGACATGAGCGCGTCGTCGTTTAGGATATCGTCGCCAGGACCGGGGCCGAACCCGAGGTGCTGACCGCCGCCCCCGGAGGAGCTGAGGGGCGACATAACGCTACTGCTGCCGCAGCTGAGGGGCCTGTTCATGCCCATGCGAGGGCTGACTGGCGTTTGCACCTCCTCCTCCCCCATGTAGTCGCTGTGGTGGTGGTGATGGTGGTGGTGATGGAGAGCTGGCAACTGCACCATCTTGCCTCCACCACCAGTGATTACCGTGGTGTGAAGCTGCTGCTGCTGCTGTTGTTGTTGTTGGGGTGTTACACCCCAGCAGTTGTCAGGCTCGGGTCCGGCATTACTCGGCCGCAGGTCCAGTGGTTCTTGGTGCCCGCCCCCGTATCGCAGTGATTGTGTAATGGACCACATCATTTCCATGTCCGTGTACCCTTTGATGCCGCCTCCAGGAATCTGTTGTTGTGGGGGCTGTTGCAATTCGTGCTGGTATGGTGGCGGGGAGGCGCTCACCGGCGGTGTGTCTGGGGGTGTTCCCGGCGTCCCGGGATGGCTGTTATGGCTAGTGCTGGAGACCAGAGTCACTAGGTTGTTGTTACTTCTCATGAGCACTCCACCCCCGTGCAGATGATGCAGCGGCTGTCTTGACCGGGGTTGCGTCCTCTAGGTGGTCAAGTACGAACTCCTGCACATACTCATCCGCGAGATGGTGGTCTTCGGCCTCCATGTCTACTCACCACGAGATCAAAACACCGACTGTGTGACGCACGAAGGCGTCACTGCAGCGCCGACGCGTCCGCCGTGAGGGCGTGGAAAGGCGGAGCCTTCAGAGCACATTATTGGTTCGCCGTCCGCGAGACACGCCCACGCGTCAGGTGGGCTTCATGATCGTCTGCACTTCAGAATTAGGTATCAGGCCCATGTAAGGATACTGCAAGGGCAGGGAGGCCATATTTTTCTTCCTTCAAACAGATCAGGTGTTCTGAATCGAGTTCCGAGGTTCCGATGTATATTCGTCTTCCTGTTCACTTCTAGTTCCTTCTGTATCTCTTTTTTCCGTTTAGCACACGTGGACTTAGCATTTCTTGTGCTTGCGTGCGTGTGTGCAGATCTGTCGTCCACTTCGTCCTTTTTAGGTACAAATATGTTCCTCGGTGTATGCAAACAAACGCTTGTAATGAAGGTCCAAACATTTCCCTCACTCTAAGATACTACTTATCACACCCATACAAACCAGACAGCAAAATTACTGCCTCATGTATGACGGTTTTGAAACTATACGGCATAAACTTATAACAGTTTCCGAATTTAGTAGCAAGTAACAAGCAAAAAAGCTCATTCCTACAAGGTCTAGATATCTGCCATTATCCTTTCTCGAATGCGCAAGCATTAAAATAATTCAATTCTAGGTAGTGTTTACCTTTAACAACCGTGTGCAGCAGTGTAACATTAAAATGTTTTGTGGCAGCCTAATACCTAGAATCTGTAGGCGACCTTACAAAGAACAGCAAATAAAGAAATAAAAAACATGAATGAGTTACAATTAATTTTCCATAATTTTCTACACGATGAAATTTGAGAACAATTTCAGGATTGTTTGGAAATGTGTCACATCTCGCCGTCAGTATTTTTGATCACTACATGAAATTATCCGCTTCGAATCTCGTCCCGGAGACTAATTTGCAAATTCATGGACAGTATCTTAAAGTCTACATGTCGATCGCTTCCATCTGAATTCCTCATTAATAGACGTTTCGTCGGCTACTTTCCCGTCATAGGCCCACAAAACACAAACACCTACACCTGAAACAGCGTCATTAACAGCTCAAGACTTGTAGATTATCTGTGTTCGAGGAGAAATCTACCGTCAGTAAGTAGGCTAATTCCATAAAGCAGAAACCTTCTTGAGAAGATGGACTGGACCCTGTTCTTAACGAGATTAGTCTAGTCTGCACACTTAGGCCTTAACCCTCTTTAAGATAGTCTTACGCTTACATTAGAATATTTTACCTGTTCCCCAACTACGCCCATATTTATAAAGTGATCTCTTCTGTTCAGGTTTTCCGACTAATAGGCCTGCTTTGTATGGATTTAATACCTCTCTTTATGCATTTTACGCCAGTACATGACCCGCGGAGGAAATTTTCACCTCATATAATAATTATAACCATGATGAGATAAATATTTGTTAATCTTGTTTCTGCTCTGTCTCAATTTTCATTTTCTTTATTATAATCGGGCAGACTGAGGACAGACAATATGTACTAAATGAAAATGAAAACAACACAACCACATTGCAAGAAAACATATGTACCTCCCCTTTACTTTTATTGCCACTCTATATATTTTTTTGCAATCTACATATATATAAATAAGTATCTCTAAGTTTAAATGTTTACACATATTTCATAAATTTTGGATCAAACGGTAGAAATATTATATTTTAATTTATTTCAAATAATGAATATATTTAAAATAAATGACATAATAATAAAGATGGATAATTATAAACATCAAATAGAATATTTTTCAGTTGGGGTCGATTTATAAGAAGTTGTCGCGGTCAGTCAATGTTATAAACCATCTATACCTTGACCCCACGATATGCAAAATGTGGTTGGTGTGCCGCCATGACGTCTAGGTTTATAATTATAGGCACAGCTCAGAATTTAGGCAAAAGGCCTATGACTGTGGAGAGAAACGGTCCGCGGACCGCTGGTAGACAACGCCTGTCCTAAAGAGACACCAATCTGGAATCACCCCCTTCCTATTCAACTGGAATAATCGATTTTTCTCTTGCTATGTGAAATGGCGGAATGTGGGCTTCTCAAAATGAATAAAACAATGAATCGATTGTAGATACTTGCCGACACCTGATAAGAGCAACTGGTCCAGCAATCCGCTTAGTGACCTGACCTTCATCCCCTGTCTCCGTATGGGGATCACACCCTCAATTAAGGGCTTCAGTGGCGTGCGTCTCTCAGAATTTGGATTCGAGTCCCGCAAATCTACTGATGGATTATGGCACGCAATTGAAATTATAAATGTTAAAAATTTCCCAATGTGCACAATGTGTGAATCCTTTCTTCGCTGGTGGTTTGCTTAAAATCAACCGCTGGAATAATAACATTGCTTACTTATTGTAGTAGACCTATCACACGTGTTTGTAACCACGTGTTTGCCTATATTAATTACCGTGTTTAAAATTTCCAGGTACTGGGCCATTTCCTGAGCCACATGAATTCAACCCAGTTCCTCACCCTAGTCTTTGAAACCTATTAGAATATTGTGCCCCATTCTTCCATTTCAGCCAAGGTTTCTAAGAGTGCTTCTCTACTCTGAATATTTCGACTAAATTTTATATGTATATGTCTCATGTGTCTTATGTCTGACATATTCTAAGCTTTTCTAATTGTCTTTTATTTTAAACCGCAAATAATATTTTGTGAATACTAGGCCTAGACATTATGAAGGTCCTCAGCTGTTTGAAAAACGTATAATAGACCAGATTTATCTGTGGCTTCGATCATTATTTTGCTTCTTGTCGAATTTTGTGGTCTTCATATAATTGTTGTTACACAGTCAAATATCCTTGTGCATGCTTATTGTCTAATAACCTATTTCTTTAAGTTGTTTGGTTTCTTTTGTTTCCGTGCTCCTAGCGACATCAATCTAAGACGCATCACGCGTCACTGAAGGGTAGGATTATTAATAAACGTAATGTGAATTCCTCAGGAATTGTAAATTTTACCACGTCATTGGCGAGTGTGTCTAACGTGTTGGATTATGGCCTAGTGTTGTATGCCTCGACGCTTCCACTGACCACACGACACAGATGCGTTTATGGGCGTCCTCCAGGGAGGTTTGTCTGCGAACTGAATTCACAATTGGACGCCGTATCTTGGGAACAGTTTCTGCAAGATAAATCACGTTTACTCCAGTAAGTCTACTGTCTTGCGTGGCCTAATTTTCTCTTCCCTGACTTTGTGAAGGATTCATCGACTGTATATCCACTAAATAATTAAATTCATTGAAGGCTAGTCTTCTTCGAAAAGTTCATAGTTGCTCAGCCGGTCAATATCCATGTTTTCGTGAAATACGAATGTTCACTACAGTATCCACAGTAATCCGCCATGTAGCCTACCACTTATCTATAATAAATTTTAATATTATCCTACTATCTGAATCTATGTCTCCCAAGAGGTCTCTTTTCTTAAGGATTTTCAATCAGAATGTGATATGAATTTATTTTACAATGCATGCTATATATTACGTCAATCTCAGCCTTCTTGGTCTAATGATGTTAATAACATTAGAGGGAGTATTACATAATTAGAACTTCATAATTTAGGCTGTAGATCCTAGGACTTTTACTATGTTGACGAAGAAAAGAAGGATGAGATGGGCGGGATACGTAGCACGTATGGGGCAGATTAGTTAGTCCTGTGTGTGAAACATTTTAGTGAGAAAATCAGGAAGGCAGAAACAACTTGGAAGACCTAGTACAGATGGGAGGATAATATTAAAATTAATCCTAAAGAAATTAATATAAGGATGTGGACTGACACAGGATGTGATCCATTTGTGGTGTCGGCTGGTGTTTTCCTGAATATCTAAGGAACTCTAAGTTTCTGAATAAAGACTTAGCCACTTGGAGTAAGTTAGCACAGAAGAAGTTAATTGACCTTACCTAATGGCAAGAATTTGCTACATCAGCGTTGCTTCGCGGTCATTTACATCGGCCAAATAAAATTAAATGCAGTAAGATACCTGCAGTACTTTAGTTTTAAGGTTTTTACGTTTACTGATTCAAACATTTCGGCAGATTAAATCTGCGCACGTGGAAAACTAAACTTTCTTTCAGTGGATATTGATAGACGCTGTCTTAATTCTGTTGAATCAGAAGCTTAAGGAATCAATATGGATAGGCCAATGTATGTGAACTGAGGGCGCAGAGAGCACGTGCTATAGATTTCGATTTCTCCCCTCCACGTCACCTATTTCTTTATGATCCCCCCTCCCCTTGTTTTCTCTTTCTTTTGTACCTACTATTTCGTCACTACTATAGGTCGTCCAAGCTATAAGGATATATAGCTGCTAAATTTTATAGCAATAGAAACCATAATTATTATTTTGGAAGGGTTTTAGAATAAATTAATAAATTTATATTTATTACATGTATTTGACACAAGTTATAATGGGCATATTAGAATATTCAGTTCATTATCCCCGTGATCGATGAACGTATCTGGGATACTGGGAACGACCCGTTCTTCAAGTGCCTGAGCACTGCGGGTCTCAACTTTTCGTTGGCTTGATCTATAGACATTCGGTAGGACTCCTTGGACGAGGGATCGGCCCGTCGCAAGGCCTCCACCTGTGCACAGGACAGCACAACACAGAAAAACGCGGACAAACATCCATGGCTTGAGTGGGATTCGAACCCACGGTCCCAGCGACCAAGCGGCAGAAGGCCCACGCCTCAGACCGCGCGGCCACTGCGGACCCCATGAACGTATCTTCTGCCAAAGCAAAAGGATTTTGTCCTTTTCTCAGGTTCTTCTTGGGGACGGTGTGGACATTGGATAAAAAAATGGACGAAATTTCACATTTCATTTCTGTTTCCTTCTTCAGCGGAATGCTATTTGTATGGATCGTCATGCAAATGCAACACGAGTCTCTCCAGAGACTAGATCTAATTCAGTGCAGTGGCGCGGTCTTCTCATAGTCACAGTTGCTGTCTGCTTGTAGTCCCCTTGTCTGGCTGAA